GCATGGCTGGGAATCCACTTCGAGTACCATCAGATCCATCCAGCAAGAACACCACATCCTTTCCTGCTGGCTGTCCCACCACTAGGGAGCATAGACATGTTTTATTATATTTACATTTTTTCTAACGATTAAATTTCCACACTTCCACAAGCAGTAATACATCCATCTTCTGCACATGAAGTCTTCAACTATGAATTGAACTCTAATTTTCAGCTGCCGCTGTCACTGTATGTTGATGGAATGTTTAATGCTTGATCACAGTTTGTCAATGGTTTTCTAAGAGCAATCTTTTATTATTCACTTTGCTTTGTATTGCTGTCTTCACAATTGTTACATTTTACGCCATTGTTTTATCCAGTCATACCCAATGAAACATAATAACGTGTCAATTGTTACTCATACAATACAAATGTTGAATTTCTATTCTTACCTCCTTTCCTTTCCACCTCAACTCCCATTTCAGTAAGATGACTCATCAAACTTTGCTCAATGCCAGGGAGGTTCACAAAATCAGGGACTGAGTAAGTGTATTGTGGATCAGAGGAAATAATTTGCATCTCTGCTGAATTTGACATTCTTGATCCAATTGCAAATGCAACAACCCCTGCTGCTTTGAGTGCGTTTCCTGGCCCTCTTGGAGAATCTCTTGATCTTCCACCAGCCAATACAATTAGTATCTGCTTGGCGCCTTCATTACGTCGACCTCCAGCTTTTGAAACAAACACGTTGTCCTTTACAAACTGGAGCGCTGCTCCAATATACTGAGGCCTTCCACCTTTTGGTTTAAGGCTTGCAATGTGCTTGAGAACATCATCTTTTGAATTGTACGCATTCAGGCTGAAACTGAGTTCAGGATTGTTGCTATACTGTACAACAGCAACTTTATCTTTTCTTTGGTCCAGGTCAAACCTGTCAGCCATTTTTGCCACAAATTCACGGATAGCGCTGAATCTACTCCTTACATCATCGGATCCATCAATGAGAAATACAATGTCTCTGTTTATGCTGGAACTTGAACCTAAAAATGTCCAGAATCATGTAAATGTCATTAGTTACCAATTCAACAAATATCAAAAATCTGTTAAATACAATGCAGTTTAGATCATTTTGATGTATGTCTATACTCAATGTTAAATGAAAGTTGCAATACATATGTAAAGTTGCATGAACAAAACCTTGTTTTCACTCACCTACATCAGGGCTCATTGTGCTTTTGAGAGAAGTAATGGATGAGAGCAACTGTTTTCTCACAAGAGGAAAGTCAGAAATCTCCTTGATAAAATACTCTGCTCTGGGAGCCAATTGTTCCATCTCCAATTTATCTGCATTATTTGCTCCAACACCATAAAGAACGACTCCAGCATTTTTCAGTCTCTCCACTGGACCTAAGACATCATCTTCGGACTTTCTCCCACTTAGGAGAATCAGTATCTGTGGGACTCCCTGCAGGGCTCTGCTGCCAGATGAAGCCGTGAAGACAGTGTTTCTCACGTAATCAAGGGCTTCACCAGTGTTCACGGTAAGCCCTCCTTTCAGTTTTACATTGCTCAAATGATTCAAGACATCATCTCTCAATGAATATTTGTTCAGGAGAAAATCAGTCATGGGCTCTGTGCTGTACTGGATCAAAGCAACGTGTGCTTTTGTTGGCCCAATTTCTACTTGCTTGACAAACTCTCTGACAAATTCCAAGATTTGTTTTTCATTTGTTCTCATATCATTAGATCCATCAAGGAGGAAAACAATATCGGCACTCAAGCGTTCTACATCTGTAATTGTGGGAGTGTCTGAAATGGATATAAACAAACATGGTGTAAGATCAACATACTTGCAATATTTATATATAGTATTATTTGCAATATATAATGGTAAGCGTGCCATCTTAAAATGCTGTTATTTTTCTACTTCTTACCAGTTATAGTTGGAAATTCAGTTGTTTCTTGGGTGCCCTTCAATGTGCCTTCAAGAGATGGGTTCATGTTTTGCAGATTTTTATAGTTTGTGACGTAAAAATAATGTGCTGGTGTGTAAGCAATAGTTTGCATCTCCAAAGTATCAGCGTTCTTTGTTCCAATACTAAAAGTCTTTATTCCATTGTCTTTGAGTGACTGTGCTGGTCCTCTGACATCATCCCCCGATCTCCCACCACTAAACACATACAGATACTGAGGGACCAAGTCTTCCCGTCTGCCTCCAACTGAAGCGGCAAAGACATTGTCTCTGACAAACTCCAGTGCTTTTCCAATGTTAAGGGGTCGTCCCAATTTATGCCTCATTGTTCTAATGGAATTGAGCACATCATTGTTGGATGAATAGGAATTCAAATAGAAATTGGCTGTGGCTTCACGGCTGTATTGAACAACAGCCACTTGGTCTCTATTATTGCCCACGCTTAAACTTTCAACTATTTTTTCAACAAAGCCTCGTATGTCTTCAAACCCGTTTCGAGAGTCATATGATCCATCAATAAGAAATACAACATCACTTCTTGTAGAATCTGCAACAAAGACAAGAAATATAAAACAAAGGCAATGTGTTTTTCTTCAGGTCACTAGTAGGGTTTTTGTTGTAATTATTATTGATCATTACTAAATAGTATTTTCGTGGAAAGGTAAAAACATTAAGTCTTACCAAAACCTGCTGTGGGAGCAGTCTGCTCTGCATGGTAGAAAGCCTCTCGAAACACTGACAACAAAGTAGGAAGTTCTTCATAACCAGTAATTGAGAGTGCATAATTGGGTGTATGAGAAACTGTCTGCAGCTCTAGGGTGTCAGCATCACTTGTTCCAATGGCAACTGTTATAACACCAATATCCCTCAGTGTTCTGACTGGGGTTCTAATGTCATCCCCAGACCGTCCACCACTTAGTATTATGAGTATTTGTAAAACTCCCTCCAGAAGTCTGCTTCCAGACTCAGCAGTAAATACATGTTGGCCAACATACTTGAGAGCAGCTCCAATGTTAAGAGGATAACCTCCTTTGTGAGTCAGACCTTTTACGGCTTCAAGAACATCATTTTCTGTTGAGTAACGTCCCAAATTAAAATTAATCTCTGCCGTGTCGCTGTACTGGACCACAGCCACTTGGTCTTTGTTTGCAGCAATGTTAAGCTGCTTTGCCACAATTGTCTGAACAAAGTCTTTAATATCCGTGAATCTTCGCTGAGAATCATCAGAACCATCAAGCAAAAAAACAACGTCTCTTTTGCTGGCATCTGTAGTCACAAAGGAATAAAAACAAATTGATTGATGATGAAATTGTGATGAAAATTGTTATTCCTGCAAATGTTCATGAATGCTACATGCACAACTTGCACTGCTATTGAACTGTTTGTTGGCATAATTCACACTATGGAACAGCCAAGCAAAACTCGTTGCTTGGTGTACAGCACTGCCAAAGCAAGGGAACCCTAGAAATGCTCTGACCAAAATGCCAAAACTCAATAACTGTACCTCGGTTCCGATAACTTGCATAATGTCCAGTTATGCCAAATGGAGTAAACGAGTTGATGATCACATAACATTTGAATAAATATCAAATCTTCATCTCAGTTATCTGTCATAATTCAATTTGTCAGAGCAAAGTTGTTCTAAATAAAACCAAATGCCATTATACATGACATGCCTTCTCTTGGTAACATCCTATGAGCTAATGTATGACCAATGGTGGTTTCACATTTTTCAGTCTCTTAACTTTGGAAAATCCAACATATCTATGCACTACCATCCATCATTCACCCTGAGTTTGAATGAGTGTCTTCTGATCTACAACAATGTAACAATGCAATAAGTTGTGCATGCAGTGTAGACCTCGCCATCCCTTTCTTACCATATGGTGCTACCCTAGAATCAGAGTTCTTCTTCAGCAAAGAAAGTATTTGTTGTTCAATGTCGGACAGATCACTGGAATCTGCTGCATAGAAAGCATGACTGACTTCCTGTGCAATAGACTGTATCTCAAGTGGGTCTGCATTCTTCATTCCCACCACAAAAGCCATCACACCAATTTCCTTCAGATTTTCAGCAGCGCTTCTGACATCATCACTGGACTGTCCACCAGTTAAGAGAACCAAAAACAGAGGCGCACCCCGGAGGCGTCTACTTCCAGAAGAGGCTGTAAAAACATTGTCCTTGATGTACTGGAGGGCTGCACCAGTATTGCGGGGTCTGCCTCCTTTATGTGTCAGACTTCGTATGCTGTTCTCAACATTCTGCCGCAAATTCTCCGTTTTGAATGTGTTAAAGAAAAATTCCGCTGAAGGTTCTCTGCTGTACTGCACCACCGAAACATGATCTTTGTAGGCTTCTACATTAAGTTTTTCCACCATCCTCTCAACAAAGCCAAGCACTGCTGGAAAGTCAGTCTGCATTTCATCAGAGGAATCCAGTAAAAACACAATATCACGGTGAAAAGATTCACTTTGATCTGATGAGCCTTGATGGACAAGATGAAGCTTAGGTTAGAGTACATTCAGTTATCTGATAGATCAGTCATGAACTAAAGTTTACATACACTTGTAAAGACCACATATATCATGTCAGTCTTGAGTTTCCAATAACTCCCACAACTCTTATTTTTTCCAGTGTATATTTTTGACCAGCAGATTTTGGCATATTTCTTAAAGGCCTGTAATAGATCTATGAAACAACCAAAATGCATGATTGTTTTTTGTGACAAAGACACGTGTTTCAATCATTTTAATGATGGAGTTGTAGAAGTCACTGTCTTTACAAGTGCATGTCATGACTAGATAGATAGATAGATAGATAGATAGATAGACAGATAGATAGATAGATAGATAGATAGATAGATAGATAGATAGATAGATAGATAGACAGATAGATAGATAGATAGATAGATAGATAGATAGATAGATAGATAGATAGATAGATAGATAGATAGATAGATAGATAGATCTTACCTAAAGCATTTTGCGGTTTTTGTCTTAGCTGCTGGCGAGGCACCCTTTTCACAAATGACACAAGTTGTTGATGGATGCTCCCAATATCATCAAACCGAAGCACGGAGAAGGCATAGGAAGGGTTATGTGCAATCATTTGGAGCTCAAGTATGTCAGCATTTCTTGTACCAATGCAGAATGGAACAACTTTTTCCTGTTTTAGGGCAGCAGCAGCACTTGCAACATCATCTTGAGATCTTCCCCCAGTCAACAGAATTAATATCTGAGGAACACCTTCTTGATGCCGACTTCCTGAAGATTCAGCAAAAGCATTGCTGCTCACATAGTTAAGAGCTGCACCGGTATTGAGGGGTCTTCCCCCTTTGTGGTTCAACTGTTGGATTGCATTCAGAACATCTTGTTTTTCCACGTAAGTGTTCAAACTGAAATCCGTCTGTGGATCGTTGCTGTACTGAACCACAGAAACACGATCTTTGTTCTCAGCAACATTGAGTGTTTCTACCACTTGCTGGACAAAACTTTTCATTGCTGGAAAGCCACTCCGTGCATCATCTGACCCATCCAACAGAAATACTATGTCTCTTTGAGGGGATTCTAATTCGACTGGAAGAGAATATGAAAAGTTTGTGTAAGAATCAGAGTTATCACACACATGCTGAATGGCATTGTGGTATAATCATTACAGATTATACAGTTAGCAAAACCACTGGAGATGGTGGTGAAATTCTACCAAACAACTGCAAAAAACAAGGTGTTAGATGCGAGAACATTTAGGAAAACTGGTGGATGAAAAGAATATTGAGACACTCCAAAGGGCATATTCCTCTTTCACAAATGGAGGATGGAGAAAAGCAAATAAATATTCTGCTTAATCATAAATGTTCAGTCAATGATGTGATAATCATTGGCTCAAGGAAGAGCTTAAAAATAGAACAAAAGCTCTCCGAGGTACAAGAAGAAAAGGATGAGAGCCAAACAAGAAACAACATAACCATGGGTTGCGGCTAGCCAGTGGAGAGAGGTAAAGGAACATGAAACCGTTTGATTCAGAAGAAGATGATGCCGTTTCATCGAAATTCAAATGATGAAAGACCAAATGCACAAGAACATAAGCAAGAAGACAGTTTACTTCTCAACTACGAATCAGTGACACGTCTTACCAACAAAAGTAGGAGGTTCTGTTTGTATTCCCGCCTTGACAAATGCAGCTATCTCTGGCTGAATGGATAAAAGTTCACCAAAGACAGGCAAGTTGAAAAGGAATTTGGAAGAGAAGGCGATTTTTTGAAGTTCCCCCTGGTCAGCATTTTTCATTCCAATGGCGAAAGACACGACACCGTTTTGCTTTAAGTCAAATGCAGCTCTGGAAACATCATCATTGGATTTGCCTCCAGTCAGTAAAATCAGAATTTGAGGGACTCCCTCTCGGCGTCTACTACCAGATGAAGCAGTGAAAACATGGTCTTGCACAAACTGTAGAGCAGCTCCAGTGTTCCGAGGTCTTCCTCCTTTATGTCGAAGACTTCTTACAGCATAGATGATAGCCTTTTTGGATCTGTGAGTCATTAGGTTGAAGTAAACTTTAATGTTGTCACTATACAGCACAACGGCCACTCGAACCTTATCGTCTTCAATGTCCAGCTCTTCTGCCATTCTTCTGACAAATTCTCGAATAGCTGGGAGCCCATTTCTGGAGTCATCCGACCCATCAAGGAGAAACACTATGTCCCGCTTATTGCTCCGTGTGTCAACTAGTAGATACATGGATAGACAGAAAGAGGATTCAAGAACTGTGTGTTTGAGACTTTTCTATGTTCGTGGCCATTTATGAACATAAGCAAGTTAGAAGCTCAGTGATAAAGGTTGAGCTCAAAAGACATACGAGCTATTGCTCTGAAGCAAAACTGCAAAAGAACCATCTTTTTACAAAAAAAAAAGATGTTTGCGCAAATTTGGTGATTGATCTCCAAAGTAGTGTTTAAAAGAACAAGTGGAAAGAAAAGAGGAAGCCTGAAAGTACAGAGCAGATCATTTCTGTCAGAATAGATATTCTGGTGAGAGTAATTCTAAATGTCATGCAACATAAATGAGCCAAAATAATTTTTAAAATGATTTATCATCTTATCATTAATCATTAAATTCCAGGAATTAGTTCAGGACAGTTGAGAGAAAGAGTATTAGTGCTAGGGAGCAAAATTTGTTGTTCTGAGAGTAAAGGACATAATACTGTACTTGTAATAAAATCAGATGTCGAGCTCTTACCTACTAAATCAGAGATTCCATTCATGGTTTCCCCAGTGTCTTTGTGTATGTTCAGTGTGGCACCAAGTTGTGATTGGATTGAGGGTAACATGGAGGAGTCAGTGACCTTGTATGCAAAACCAGGTTCGAAGGCAATTGTTTCCAACTCTGAAAGGCTGGCATCTCCCACTCCAACCCCCAGTGAGATAATTTCATGCTCTTTAAGAGAAAAGGCTGGGCCTCTCACATTATCAGTGGATGGTTTGCTACTTAAAAGAATTAAAATCTGGGGCACTCCTTCCAGTCTTCGACTGCCTGTGGAAGAAGTGAAAACTCTATGCCTCACAAACTGGAGAGCTGCACCGATATTATGGCGCCTTCCACCCTTGTGCCGTAAATTATCAATGGCATTTATGTTGTCGTTCTTTGTCTTGTGAGAGCTCAGGTAAAAGTTGACCTCAGGACTATCAGCAAATTGAACCACAGACACTCTGTCTTGGCTTTCATCGACAGTGAGGCTCTCCACTACGTTCTTAACAAAGAGCTTTATGTCTGGGAATCCATCTCTGGTGTTATCAGAGCCATCCAATAGGAACACAATATCTCTTTTTACAGCATCACTTTGAGCTAAGACACAACAAATAAGGTTTAGTTATTCTCATAAAGCACCAGAAACATCAGCAAAAGTGTTAGTACGCCAATAAGAAAACATTTTTTTTCCTACCTTCTTGTAGGACAACGGCCAGCTGTTCCCTCGGAAGGCTCACATAGTTATTGAGCTTTTGTGGTATGGAGCCAAGCTCACTGAATTCTTTCACTTTGAAGGCAAATGAGGGGTTGTGGGAAATTTCCTCAATCTGCTTTGGGTCTGCATCCTTGACACCAACACCAAATGGCACGACTCCCTCTGTCTTCAGTGCACCAGCAGATTCCTTCACGTTATCCGTGGAGCGGCTTCCAGCCAAAACAATCAGGAACTGAGGGACATTTTGTGAAGCCCGACTGCCATTGCTTTCAGACAGAATGGTGTCTTTCATGAATCTCAGAGCAGAGCCTGTGTTTAAGCTTCGTCCGCCAGCCAATGTCATGCCATTGACAGCTCTTATCACGTCCTCTTTGGTTTTGTAAGTGTTAAGGTAGAAATTTGGAGTTGGCCTCTCGCTGTGTTGAACCACTGAAATTCGTACCTTGTCGATCCCAATGTCAAGTGGTTCAATGACTTTAATGATAAAATCCCGGATGTAGGCAAAATCTGCTCGAACACGATCTGTTCCATCAATGAGGAAGGCAACATCTCTTTCAACTCCAGAGATGACAACTGAGGGAAACAAAGAAAGCTTAATTAATAGTTACCAGGGTAGCTTTCTATTACAGTTGGACAGTCTGACATCACATTTATTTAATCTGACAGAGACATGCTAGAAACAGAAAAAATACTAAACTAACCAGTTTCCTCTGGAAATGTTGCCACATCGGTATCGCCAACCACTGTTATCAGCTTTGGCATGATGACTTCAGCCATAGCTGGTAAACTAGAAAAGCTTGTTTCATGATAAGCCAAATCTGGAACAAAGGCAACTGTCTTGAGAAGAGACTCATCTGCTTGTCCAGAGCTGACAGTGAAAGTCAAAACACCAGCCAAAGCCAGTTTATCAGCCACGGTCTTAACCTCATCCTGGGGGGGACCGCCTGTGATCAAGACCAAAACCTGCTGGACACCCTGCCTCCTGCGGGACCCAGTTGATGGCTGGAACATATTGGCCAGGGCATAATTCATGGCAGTTGCTGTATTCAAAACTGATCCTCCAGTCAGGCTGAGTTGAGAGATTCTATTTACAACATCTTGTCTGTTGCTGTAGCTGTTCAGGTAAAATTCTATTTTTGGACGGGCAGCAAACTGCAGGAGACCAATCTGGACTCTGTCAGGACGTACATCCAGTTGGTTGACCACGTTGATCATGAAGTCTCTCACATAGGGGAAGTTACCGCTGCCAATGTAGTTTGAGCCATCCACAAGGAAGACAATGTCTCGGACAACTTTTTGTGTCTGCACTGTAGTTATCTCCACCACTGAGGAAGGCACAAAAACAAAATAATTATTTTCTGTCGAAAACCATGTACAAACACTTTCATTAGTGACACATTAAACAGTCAAAGGGCCGTCATTGAACTGCAGGAAGATTTTGTCACCTAAAGCTCTTCATGTACTCAGCATTTTCTGGTTCTTTCTTCCGGTATTATTATTTTGGGAATTACTTAAACATGATCCTCAGACCAAACTCATCAAGGTTCTTATCTTGGTATGTAGGCAATACAACAAAATCTACTACTGGTCTGCTGTTGAGAAGCTCTAAAGGTAAAGCAGCAGCAAATATTTTGTTTGGATCAACAGAGAAAACTTTTAAAAAACTCTCTGAGGTCACAACCATGTGTGTTAAGCCAAGTGTGAGTGAGTGTACAAGCCAAATCTGTCATATTTCAGTTGGGTGGACATCTGATCATATGTTTAGAAATCAAAGAGCATATAGGATTTTGCTGGCTTTGTTATAGTTGCCCCTGACGAGGTGCAAGTATCACATTCATAGAGTAACATAGAGTAATCGGTCCCCTTTGTTTTTATCATGCATCACTCGGTTTCAGAAGCATATGCATTTGTTGTTTTCCAACTTATTTCTTTATTTATGTTTGGGACATATTACTTTTCAAATGTATTGTATGTTTAGAAAACAAAGACTTACCTGGCTCAGTGGGTACTTCAGTCACCACCACCACCCCAGCTAGAGTAGAGAGAGCATCAACAACTTCCCTTGGGTTGCGAAACAGTTGGCGGAAGTCCTTGTTCATGAATACAACTCTTTCAGCAAAGGCAATCTGCTTCAGCTCCTCCTCATCAGCAGCCCTTGAGCCTGCAGCCAGAGTCAGTACACCCATTTGCTTCAGGGCCAGAGCAGGTTGTTCCACACTGTCACTAGACTTTTTACTGGTCAGTAACAGCACAAGTTGGGGCACCTGCTGCTGAATACGACTGCCCCTCGCAGGCTGCAGCATATTCGTCCGCACAAAGTCCAAGGCTGCTCCGATGTTGATTGTCTGTCCTGGTCTTGGTCGGATCGTACCCAAAGCAGCTGCTATTGCCTCCCTGGTTCCATGGGTGTTCAAATCCATCTCAAGTCTCGGGACAGTGCTGAATTGGGCAATACCCACTTGAACTCCGTCTGGACCAATTGGCATCCTGTCGACAAACCTCTTGATGAATTCGCGTAAACCGTTGATGGTTGCGGTTCCCATTGTACTGTCAATCAGGAAAATGACGTCTCGTTTTCCAATTGCCACAACTGAAAGAAGACATTACAATTAGAATAAAGGTAGATTTTAAGAAATGTTATAGTCATGAAGCTGTAAGCACTGATGACTAAGAAGTTATTTGGGATATGCGTTAAGTAATACTGATCTACAAGCAGAAAAAATGGAGATACATTGTCTTTTCTTCAACAGTGTATCCTTATTAATATGAATTACAGTTACTCTCAAACTTCTACAATACTTTTGATTGCTGTTTCTATTGGTTACAGCTAATTTTTATGAAGTAGTTTGAAGAATTATTTACAATTATTTAATTTAATTTATTTTACTTTCACAAAACATTTTAAAGTATGCTGTACACTCAAAGTGTATTTGCAACCTCCCCAATAATGAGGATTTCTTAACTTCAGACACTAGAAAACTTCATTCAAAATTCAAATCTACAAAGTAAAATGCACACAAACTTATTTTAATTCTAGAACTTGTAACTGTAAAACATTATATTAATGGTTGTTTTGGGGAATATTTGACACAGTATTGGTACAAGGCGCTATGCATTTCTATGCATTTATTAAGTGGGCAGCATGTGCCCTGTTCAAAGCTAAGCTAGGTGTACTCTACCTGCCAAAATTTACAACACCCGCTAAGAGTGAGTAAGTACTGTAAAAGCTTTTCACTTTGAGCTTGTTTTAAATTTTTTCTTGCTACGTAGCCATAAAAAATGCCCAGTCTGTGTATGAATTTAAAACGCTCAGGTTAACACTCTGAACCCCAAGACCCACAGACAAGTTTGAAAGACATGTTCTTAACAAAAAATGCCCAAATCAAACCATTTATTATGCAAAAAAAAAAAAAAAAAAAAAAAGAGAATAACAAAAAGTAATTATCTTTGTTTCCTACATAATAGGCTGCACTGGAACACTATGCACCAAAAAAGAACGAGTAATGACCAAAAAAAAAAAAAAAAAAAAAAAAACCACTAACTTTGCAATGGTTCATGAATGTTCCATGTTTGACGTGCCATAACTAGTTTGTGGAGGTTGTAAAAAAGCAAACAGGCCTCGTCAAATAGTCTATCTATAGCAGGTAAAGCCCCTTTTTTTCGAATGTTGGCAAGACCTCTGGTAACTTATATTGTAGCCTACATAATGATTCCAATTTTGGGTTTTTTTGTAAAACAAAAAATCTAATTAATGATTTTTTTATATGTGGCATTATAACTGTGTCATACTGCACAGAAGACATTTAGTTCTCTCTACTTCTAGGCATCTTTTTGCTGTTTCTATAAAGCTGCAGGACTTTACATTGCAGTGAAAAATTAGCCCACAGTGACTAAAAATGTCAAAAGAACAAAAACCAAAAAGAAAAACCAATGGCTAGAAACTGCTTGGGGTTTAGAGAGTTCAAAATGTTTGTGCAATGTTACAAACTTGTAACTGTAATTTGAGATGGTGTATAACTTTTGTTGAAAACATGCTGTTTAACAAACTGGGTTCTGAAACATACAGAAAGGTAGCAGGGCTATGTCCTAATGTCCTTTTCTTAGTAGAATATCTGTTAACAATTAAGCTCACTACCTTTGCAAAGGTTTAATGTAAGACAGTCACAATTCAACTAAGTGCCATGCACTAACCTGTCACTATTACTACTGTTAGAAACCTTAAGATCAAGAACATAGCAAATTCAAGTTTAGCACAAGAATGTCTTACATTGTACAGTATTTATATATATATTTTTTTATTGATTATAAGTTTTCCCAGGCTTTTAATTTACTAAGTCCCCTTCCACAAACAAAATGTCCCACCAACATTTACAGAGAAGTTACATACCTTCTGTGAACTCATTCTGAACTATAATGGTGCGCTGGACCACCCCGTTAATGTATGGGAACAGCTGGTCACTCATGCTTGCAACTGCTCTGAAATCAGGGGCTGACAGGACAAACGTTTTGTCTGTAGCGACTGCTTCCAGATCTGCAGTGGCAGTGTCACCAATCGCCACGCCAAATGTGATAACGCTGGCCCTCTTAAGGGCCCGGTCACCGGCGCCAGTATCATCAGTGGATGGCCCAGCACTGACAACCACCACCATCTGAGGCACACCCTCGTCTGCCCTGCCCCCAGCTGTTTCGCTCAAAAGGCTCTCAGCCACTTCCTCCAAGGCAGCGCCCAGGTTAGATTCATCGCCCCCTGAGTAGGTGAGGCCTTTCACAGCTTCCAGGACCGATGACTTGCTGTCATAGCTATTTAGATAGAACTTTATTTGTGGATCGGTGTTGTACTGGATCAAGGCCACCCGAATAGTGTCCCTGCCCACATCGAGGCGCTCAATGATTTTCAAAACCAAATCGCGCACATAGGGGAAGTTTGCTGCTCCAACGTTCTGTGATCCGTCAATTAAGAGTACTAGGTCAGCTGAATCTTGTGCTTTAAGGAGAGAGAGAGAAAACAAAACAAAATGGAACTTGTAAAAGCGTTAACATAGTGAGACAGGGACAAAGACTTCAATCAGAGAACTCGTGCTAGCATATCATTGCATGTGTCAAGTAACATTCAAAGTGAACAAATCAACAACATTACAAAACACACAATACTGCATGTAGGCTGAACCAGGGAGATTTCCTAAAGTGAGGTAACTTTTAGATTTTTTTTGCCCTCATTATATCATTATCAAATGGATTACAGTGTTTTCCCATCAGGGCAGACTACAGCAAACAAAATATGACATAATATAGGCTGTAATAGGGAAAACAGCTGTGATGGATATGAAAAAAAGTTTAATTGTTACTTTAAGCAATAAAATGGGAAAAGTTTATAAAAATCATAAGGCAAAAACAAGGACGGACTATTAAAAAATGACAAAAAATGATAATACTAATGATACTAATACTAAATGTTTACTCATTGAAGAATAAACTTATAGGAAATAAAGAAACAAAATCTGCAGTTACTTAAAAAAAAATTAGTTTCAACTAAAAAACAAATAATATCTCAAATTTGTGTAACATTTATGAGCTCCACTGAGTTCAGTCATCCCATGCAGACTCTTGTTACAGACCTCAGGTGAAGTGACCAGTCATGACCCTGTGGACCATCCTTAGAGCCTACATGTTGCTACTACTTGAGAACATTGTAAGTGTGATTCTATACAACAAGAGCAAAATGATGTACATTTGTGATGTTTCTAAATCATTTTTGGATCATCTGTGCTTCCATTTGACTTTTTTTTCAGTTAAATATCCTTGAATGGATTTTTATCTTTCTCATTCCTGTGACTTACTGTAATGTACTGCAAACAGTTAAAGGAGCTCTACGTGTAAATAAACATTCTCAAAGTACTTCTGCAGGTCACGGATGAGTCCAGACAGGTTCATCACTGTTTCAAATACAGAATATTGCACATATCTTACACAGATAGACATTGTGACTGATAAAGACAAACATACATGTGCAGGACACATAAGCAGTGGCGCGTGGTTAGCTGTTGTTAAAAGCTCGTTGATTGACTTTGGGATGGGATGTTTAAACGGATAAAGCATCCCGGTGGTCACGTTCTTCTCTATATTCTGATGGAACGTTGGTGCCTTTGTCCACTCTACTACAAAGAGTCATCATCTAAAAGTGGTGCCTTGAATTATGATTTAGGTTTATACTGTACACTGTGTACCGTATTTAAAAGCATCTGGGACAGAATGAATCTGTGCCATTAGCATAAACCGAGCACCCTAATCCAAGATGTAGTAGAGGTCTCAGTCACATGCAGATCTCGTAGTGATTTTTAAAGCATTCGGGGCATATTAAGTGTGGTAAGACAAAAAAGAGTGATGTTAATTTTGCAGGTGGGCAGTGAAAGGTTATTGTGGTTAAAAAAAAATACTTGATTGTGTTAATAAAAAGTCCAGTCACGTCGTCATATGCAGCAGCTTCTTCCTGCACATGTAGACACATTAGTATGGTAGTGACACTGGTCCCATTTTATTACCTGTCCCTCCTTCAGCCACAGGGGCCTCATTTCCCATGGGAGCAACCCCTGACTGGGTCACTGCACCGCAAATCCCCACTACTAATTCTTGGATTATATCCCGCAAGGCCAGGAAAGAGTCTACACTGAACACATGAGTGGCATGAGGTTGGCTAGCCATCTCCCTGAGCTCCGAGTCCACCGCATCCTGAACTCCAACTGCAAACATCTCCACGCCTGCCAGTTGCAGCACCTGAGCCGGCTCGGCCACGTCATCCTGAGAGCGCCCGTCTGTTAGCACCAACACCACCTGGACCGCCCCGTCAGCAGCACGGCTGCCCGAAGCAGCGGTCATGTGTGTACGTATCAGGTAATCCAGACCTAGGCCAGTGCGGGTGCCCCCACCACGGTAAGACATAGCCTTGATGTGTGCCAGGACTCCCTGTGTTGTTGGGTAGCTCTTGAGATGGAACTCAGTTTCAGGCCTGCTACTGTACTGGACAAGGGCGAACTTAAACTTTTCTCCTCCAACCTGGTGCAGTGATTGTATCAAGGTGTATAGAAAATGTCTGACATGCTCAAAGTTCTCCTCTCCCATACTCCAGGATGAATCCACTAGAAAGTATATATCAGCTGCCAACCCTTGTGCACAATCTTCAGAAGCGTGTTTGGAGGACAAAAGTAAAGACCAATGAAAAGATGCTTGATGCATGGTACCAAAATATTATGATACTACTGTACACTGTTGCACAATATGACTGTACGATTTAGGTCATTTTATGTTTGACAGCGTCAGTCTGATTAGATTCCTAAAAGCATCTGACTTAGTGTAGTACTGTAATGTTTCTAGAAGCTTCTATTCAGATTTTATTTTTTTTTTGTCCCATATAGAGACTGATATTTTGAATTTGTATGCTAAATGGTAAAAAGAGACAGTTCAGCAACAATGCTTACCAGAGTGGGAAAAAAAATCTTTATTTTACGTCTTTGTTTGTTTTTTTAAATCATTAGAAGTTTATTAATCTCCACATTGCTATTTGAAAAGGTGCAGATGTAGATTATATATTTTAAGCAGAGAAAAACAAAAATTACATCCTGCTAAGTGTTGCTGAAAACTGAAAAAAATAAAAATTGTAAGCAAAAAACGACGACTCTCTGCCGACTGACACTGAGATGAATTCGGTTGAACTTACCATCCTGAGCATCAAGTTTAGGGAGGAGTCCCGCGAACAGGACGCCTAGAAGAGCACACAACGGTAACAACCGGTGCCTCTTCATCTTCAGAGGAAACAGAGAACACACCTGTGAAACCAGAAACAATAAAATATGAGTCAGAAAGCATACACGCCAGACATTTTTTAACATGACAGTGTCTCCACACACTTAAAAACATCATATGTTCACATGTAGCTTGTATTTCTGTTATGTGCTTCTCTAAATATAACACACAGCATTACAAGGGTGCAACCTTTAATTTTTGACAGCGTACAAGAGAAAAAAATGTTGTGTCAAACTGTGAAAACCACAGCGATGTCAGCACATCCCAGTTGCTCAACACTGCGACGCCCATTTTTCATTACATTATCATCACATGCAGCCTCAGTGTAAGCGAGGGAGCTGCAGCAGTAGAGAGCGATTATGATGAAAACCACCTGCTACAAATACCAGCCAATGTACTTTGGTAATTAACTCGCCTTGGCAGCTATTGAATTTTCCAACTCACAAAATAATATCCTTTTAAAAGGGGGTGTTGGACTGGAAAGTCCACTTTCACAGCAGGGGTGTGTGTTTTTTATTTGCTCAGATTTTCCTCCATTGTGATGTAAAGTAATGTCCCAGGAAATGAAAGAGAAGTCACACATTGTTCACACCTGACATGATCAGTTCAGCTCATGGGTTTCAGCACCTACTTATTTAGGCTGTAACACAGGAAAAATTTAAGTAGATTTTTACAAACGCAGCATTGGAACAAACCTAAAGAAAAGTCCTAACCCAGGAGCCCCAAAAGTCCTACATTTAAACCAGTTATCACAGAGATAGATATGCAGGTATAGAAGCACTCAGACTCTGTTTCATGTGATCGATTCCATCATTACTACAAAGCAAATCCACAGCTTTAAAAAAAAAAAAAACACCCTCACGAAGCAAGGACAGTTCACTTTCCTTCCTTTCTGGGAGTAAAACAAACAGACAAGTCCAAGGCACACACTTGCACACACACCTAACCTATAAAATTTCCGACCACCCTGTGGTGATAATGTGGGTCCAGAAACACCAGAGCACAAAAGCAATTACATTTTTTATTACAGTGAAACTTAAAACTGCAAAACTGAAGACGACTAAACGCCCCCAAATAACCCCAAACGTCCGACTGTGATCTGGCGGACTCGCCGCTCTGGAAGTCAACACAAAATGATATAAACACAAACTCAAAGGGGATCCTGAAGAGTAAAGCACACGGCCTGTGACCAGTGAAGTCCTCTCCATTAAGCTAATGATGGGGAGTAAAAGTAGAGCCAGTGGAGTCGTTTTAACAGCTCATGTGTCTGCTGGTAGACGCGCAGTAAAAGCTCAGCGCTAATGGCGGCTCTGAGGTGAGCCATCAGAAAAGTGGCACTTTACATCATTAGGGGTTTACTGCCCATTTGTTCAGGAATAAACTAAAAGAGAGCTATTTCTAGAACGTGCAAGAAGTGTGCATTTTCCAGTGCTTCAAAATGTGGTTACATCACTAAATAATGAGTGATGCCCTCTAGTGGAAAATGCAGGTACAGCATCTTATAACAGGCCCTGATTGTTCTCGAATGAAGACATACATCAAACCTCCACACAATTTATCTGACTCTCATCATGCTCATGTTCTCTCCATGAAAAAAAAAAAAGACTTGGGGTCCTTAAAATGGCACGAATTCAAACTTGCAGTGTACAGTGCCTTTGTTAATATGTGCTTTCTTAGATCAAACAACCTGTTGTGTAGCAGCCGCCTCTGCACCAGTGACAACGTGTTGAAGTTTTTATCTGCCTATAATCAGAATGGTTTTATGTCAGCCTGTAACATTGGCTCGTTTTTGCTGTTTTGGCCTTAAATTAACACTCTTCAACACATATATTTACAGAATAATGCCCAGAACATGAAGCACCAGGTTGTGCACCTCTTTAGATTTACACTTTTCTAAGGCCCTAAACCTGATTCTGTAAATTCCAGGTGGCCCATGGAAAGTCAGGAAAAAAAACTGCAGGTACTGTAAATTAACTAAGTTGATTTTGGCACATAGTTTGCTACTATTTAAGTGGTTTCTAATACTCCCAGTAAGCGTGGATATGCTGACAAGTAATATAAATAAAACCCCAAACTACATCGACATTTAAATAGAAACTATACAAAATAGTCAGTGCAAAGTGTCTGCTTCTAAACTTGAGCAACAATGCACACTCATCTTATAAAGTCTGAGTCATGGAAAAGGTCATTATCTAGAGTGTATTCAAGCGATAATGGATTATAAACACATGGCTGATGAGCTCAGTGTAAAACTGCAGTCATGCTGTTTATACTGTGATGTGTCCACAGTTTATTCAGACACACTTTGCAGCTGAGAGTAAAACTCTGAAAATCCAAACTGGTGGAAAATAACACAGTAACACTGTAGTTGTACTCACTTTTTTACACAAGCCCACTCGAGTGATCATAAAAATGCATGAACCAAACAAAAAATCTTGTAATGCTGTCATGCAGTTGAAGATTTGAGATGGTTATCGAAGTGATTTTTTTAAAAGGCAGCTGCAGAACTGTCACACAAAATGTCATAACCAGTTATTGGGACACTCTGTCGTGCATATAAAGATCACACTGACTGCACATTTACTTTTTCTTTGACAATATTTGCTTTCACCAAACAAATATATCACATACTTGGAGAGCATGGTGTATTTCTACCAAGTAAAGAATGTTTTTTTTTTTAAGTCTGTGGAAACTGCAGTGTCCCTGCAGTCTCCACATTCCGTCACTATCCAGATATAGGGCCTAAATCACCAAGTTCCTTCATTTCAAGGAAACCTAAGCTCCCTTGGACGCTGCACCAGATGTTTGTGTTCTCCACTCATGCTCATGTGATTTCAGGTCACTCAAAAGCCACTTCTCTGCACAGTTTGCCAGACTTGGCCAATGTGTCAACACTATGGCTTCCCCTCAGCACCACAGAGGAAAACATAGTAGCACAGTGGAGTCTTGTTTTCTCTGATAAAAGCAGCCAAACAATGGCGGCACAGGGAGTTATGTAAGAGAGAAAATTCAGAGAGAAATGCAGTAACCTGAAGCTGCATTATGTTATTTCCCACTTGGAAGCAGGACTTACCACACGCGCATTTTGCATATTGTCACTTAAAGTTTTTAATGTCCAACAAAAGGGGTTGATAAAACTACTGAGACTAATGCAACAGCAGATTTGGAAGGCATTAAAGCAAAACAAGAAAAAAAAGAGGTACGACATGCAAAAACATGTGAATTATCAACCATCTGCAAAGCTGATTGATAATTTGTAAAACATGTGAATTAGTCCCTGAGAGCAGCCCATCATGCATCACACAATGTCAGTTTTTCCATTGTTATCATATCATTGAGTTCAGCTTTGATATAAAACTTATTTATTAAGGGTGGACTCAGTAGTTTTAATCCAAAACAAATTTTGTTTTTCTTTTACAGTAATATCTTCACAGTATCCTAACTTCAGTTTGAAGGCCAAAAAATAAAAGATTCCTGACTTTTTAAATGGAGAACGAACAAAGTGGCTCCACACACAGCGATTCCCACAACACTAATCCAGTGTGTTATGTGCACGTTCTTGCTTGTACACAGGACTTGGCTGAAAGGAAGGAGGAGGTGGGATGGGAAAACGGGGAGCGGGAAGGCTGTTAAACCTGGCACATGCCATCCAATCGTACTAACGAGCTAAATTACAACAATCTTTAGCCAGAATCACAGAATGCACCTTTAAACTCAATCCCAAAACATGTCAGCGCCAATGCAATCTTATATCATGTCAGGGACGGCACAAAATCTTTGTAGCATCCTTTGGGAGAACTTCTACTCATTCTCTACTTCTGCCACATAAATCACAGCTTTAAAACTGCCATCTCTGAATGTAAACTCTTCATCAATAGCAATGACAAAATGGATTGAAAGAATGTTCAACAATGTCATTTTAATGCATCAGCTGCCATGAAGGCGCACAACAATAACACAAAGTTCAGCTGCATGAACAAACTGTAGCCATGCTCATGACTGGCTCATAACAGCCTATCAAGCCTATCATAGCCCTCAGTTATGCTGCTCCGTTTTTCTCCCAGTGGTTTCCATGCATGTCTCCCGAGGCATGCTAGTCCACAGCCACCTGGGCCTCTCCTCGCCCTCATTTGCTAGGGCCGACACCCTTGGATCCCCCATCACTTCCACCCAAGCAATGCACTCTCAACGGCCAGCTGCGAGGGCTGACTGACCACAGAGGACAGTGTAGGGTTTCTCTCCATGACACAACTCCAATTACCCCCAACATTACCCTCAGCGCAGTGCAGCAACTTGTACCTCGGGTTTTATTTGCTTTCTGTATTTAATTTGTATCAAGGTGTGTATTTATTTGTTCAATATTGCCTGTGCGCTTTGAATTCAAATTAAACTTGTTTTCTGCTGGCCTTTATCAAAATAAGCTTTTTAAAAATGATAAATAATCGTCCAAATCAACTGAAATTAAACATTTTATTATTAAAAAAAATCTTTCAGCTTCACTGCCCAGGCCTTCCTCTAAGCTTTAATCCTCAATGCTGCTCCTTTAAAATGATTAATTTTCTTGTGTTTGCAGACGAATGATATAACTGTAGCTACAGGTAGGTCAGCTTTTGTATTAATTTTAGCCTGTTACATACAGTTTGTAGCAAATATACATAAGTGACAGTGTATCTTTTTCTTTGCTACCACTAGGAGTCACCAAAGTCCAAAATTTTTAAATCTTTCACACTCGGTAAGCATTTAAAGATGATGTTCATGGGCCATCCAGCCACATCTATCATGTTGCACATGCCTGAGCCTAACTATTAATAACAAAGGCGTGTGTGTCTGTGTGTGTGTGTGTGTGTGTGTCCATGATATGCAGAGTCACCACCTTATCTGCACTCTGCTATTAAATGACAGGCTAAATAGAACCGTTTAAGTGGTGATCGGTTTATGTTGAATAGGGAGCTGAACATACAGTCTGTACACTGTATAGCACTACATCTTGCTCAGTGTTGTTAAAACTGTCAGTTTCCAAAAAACTGCAGATGCTGCAAAGTGCCCATGAGCACTCTGAGACACATTTGCAAAGGGACCTCACACACACATTTATAGCTGGGACCACACACTAACACGTGCATACATAAAAACACACAAGCTCACAGTGCAGTGCAGCACACTTATCCAGCCTCAGTGACAGATAACAATGCTGGTGCTTTTGGCCACTGCATCAGTGGACCACCTAGGGTAGGAGGACAGGCACAGTTCAGTCACCTCACAGAACCAAATGGGTCTTCATGCACAAAGGGTTGTTGCAGTGGGTATATTTTCCCACAAAACTCTTTCTTAAAGTCATGAGAAAGAGATGCTTAGTTTTAGAAAATATGTTGGACACATAAAAGGTTTGAACAAACCCATGCAAAATATAACCAGTTATATTTCCATTTTTTTCATTTCACCAAGCCACGGCATTAAAACCACCTGCCTAAAACGGTGCATGTCCCTCTCGTGCTGCCAAAACAGCTCCGACCCACTGGGGCATGGACACCGGAGCTCTGGGGCTGTCCTGTGTTGTCTGGCATGAGGAGGTTGGCAGGAGATCCTTTGGGTCCTGTGGCCTCCATGTATTGGGCTTGTTCCAGTGCATTTACATAGATGCATGATCAGATTGGGATCTGGAGAGTTTGAAAACTGAGTAACACCTGGGCTTTTCGTGTTGTGTTCCTGAACACTTTATGTGGTGTGACGGGGTGCATGGCCCTGCTGGAGGAGACCGCTGTCATGGGAGGGTGTGCTGCATGGCCTGCATCAGTGTTTAGGTGGCTGGTACATGTCAAAGTAACATGAATACCAGGAAATAAAGTTTCCCAGCAGAACTGTGCATTGTGATGGGATGATCGATGTTATTTCCTTTAACAGTCAGTGGTTTTAGTGTTGTGGCTGATTGGTGTACAATGGTGTGGATGTTGCTTTGACAAATAGCGCACCTCTGAATATTCTACTCCACATTCTAATGGTAAAACAATGTGCCCTGCCACACTGCAAAAACTAGATGAGGAGCAAGACCAAGAGCATAAAATGTTGACCCGGCCTCCAAACTCCCATGATCTGATCAAGAATCCACAAGATGTGCTGAAACAGTCCTGATCCAAAGAGGTCTCACCCTGCAACCCACGGGAACCAAAGGGTCCGCTGCCAACATCACAGTACCAGACAGACACCACAGGACACCCCAGATGATCCATGTAAATGTCCCAGTGGGTCAGCACGGTTTTGATGGCATAAAGGTGTGTATGTCCGTGCAATCTGGAGCAATTCAGCTCATTGTTTAGGTTCAGTCTCACCAGGTATCTGTGTTCAGCTGTGAAAAAATGGCCAGCTACCAAAGTTAGCTGCTCGCTAGGACACCTCTACATGTGTGCAATATCAACCAAAAGTTGAAAACACGTAAGGGCTGCATTAAGAGCTTGTTTCTGCTGCACCCAAGTGGCCAAAGAATCTGATTCTGAATCTGCAAACACTTTATAATTATCTAACTAATCTGGGTTAAGGTATACAAATTTTATTATGTTCAAATCCAACACATTGTCCTAATATTATTGATTGTGTGAACATTTTGCCAATACAACCACACATTTGCAATCTGAGATTTCCTTTTAATATTTTTTGGGGGGAAAAAGTGAGTAACTGGTTGTGCAATTCGCCACACTGGCACAGCAACGTTTCTGTTGGCAACCAACTCCTGAGGCACGGTGTAGCACAACTTATATCATAACCCACTGCTCACGTAAGAAGATGTGTTTCCTGCTACTTGCAGATGTTTTTTTATTACTTCGCTTGAGCCACAATTGTGTCATCAATTATAAAGAGACACATATACATGCATAAGAGAGGAAATGATCTAATTCTTCATTTACATTAAGCAACTTGAATTTATCCAAGATGAGAAACTGTAATGTGAAAACCATACGTCATGCTTTTGGGCTTCATGGGTCACATTTTCAATTTGGCTCAGCCTCAGCAGCTCCCTTGACACTTTACACATTGCAGACCGAAAACCTATACACATCACTTGTAATGTTAACAACAGTCACTGATGCCACTGTGCATAAACTACCTCTAAAGGCCTGTTCTCCACGGCCATTTCTTAAAACTTTCCACCACATTTGAAGCTAAATTAGAGGTGGGAAAAGCGAGATGAGAAGGGAAAGCACTCAATTGTAGGTTCTGAGCATAAGACATCGTGCATCATGCAGAGAAATGTCATTATTACTGCAGCATGTGTGACTTTGCATGAGATAACCTCTGAGGCTGAGAGCATCCACCCACATCTCAGCTGGAAGGGATGACATGTGTGGCGCAGATGAGCGGAGGATCAATGATAAAGTTAAAAGTGGGAGGGGGACGCAGGCTGGGCGGGCAGCTCCACACAGCTGGTGTGTGTTAGTCTGTCTGACACCTGGCAGATGTGTGCTCTGGTGTCTTGGCCAATCTAAGCCTGTTCACATATTAAACCCGACACTTATGTAGTGCTGGTTAGAATGAGAGAGAGGAACATGATGAAATAACTTGTTGAGAAGGCGAATTCATTTCTAAAGGTCAACTCTCTTCCTGATAAACATTTCAGCTGATCTGTGAGTCAGCCTTTGCGCTGCCTTTCATCCATCAAAACTGTTTAAGCCACTTACAAGACCGGTGCTCCCACCAACCAGTGCATCCCTGACAATTATTGATGGTTACTTCCTTGAAAAAAAAGAATATCAGCTTAGTAGTTCCCTGAGACCTTTCTGAAAACTTTTCCAGACATCTGTGCTACATCATGGAAAAAAGACAACAAGCTGGAGAGAGCGGAGTAGCCATAAAACATATTAATGCTGATTT